GGGGCCGGGCGGCACCTCCGGACCGGGACGGCACCTCCGGACGGGCGACACCTCCGGGAACCACGGCCGACCGGCGACACCTCCGGGCCGGGCGACACCTCCGGGAACATCGGCCGACCGGCGGCACCTCCGGACCGGGCGACACCTCCGGCAACCACGGCCGACCGGCGACACCTCCGGGACGGGCGGCACCTCCGGACGACCGAATGAACTCTCGTAGTCAGACGACCGCCGGCGGTACCTCCGGAACACTTAACGACAATTTACGGCGCCGCAACGAGGAGAGCTACGTAAAAACGTTTCGGACGAAAGTTACTTACTATTCGGCGCTCGCTCGACATAAGGGCGCTGTCCGATTACTAACTCGAAACGTGTCTCTCAAACCCACGTGTCGGAGACATATATTTCGAATTATTACGGATGATACGCAACACGCAAGCTGCGGTGACCGCGATTACGGTACGGAAAACTCGCCCGATGCGAAATCGCGCGCGCGGCAACCGAGACGGCTCGTTACGGGCGTGATTATACGTGCGGCACCACATAACGGCCGGCGTCAACTTAGGGGACGGACGGCACCTCCGGGACGGGCGACACCTCCGGGAACCACGGCCGACCGGCGACACCTCCGGGCCGGGCGACACCTCCGGGAAACCCGACCGGCGTCACCTCCGGCCGGGCGACACCTCCGGCAACCACGGTCGACCGGCGACACCTCCGGACGGGCGGCACCTCCGGACGACCGAATGAACTCTCGAAGTCAGACGACCGCCGGCGGTACCTCCGGAACACTTAACGACGATTTACGGCGCCGCAACGAGGAGAGCTACGTAAAAACGTTTCGGACGAAAGTTACTTACTATTCGGCGCTCGCTCGACATAAGGGCGCTGTCCGATTACTAACTCGAAACGTGTCTCTCAAACCCACGTGTCGGAGACATATATTTCGAATTATTACGGATGATACGCAACACGCAAGCTGCGGTGACCGCGATTACGGTACGGAACACTCGCCCGATGCGAAATCGCGCGCGCGGCAACCGAGACGGCTCGTTACGGGCGTGATTATACGTGCGGCACCACATAACGGCCGGCGTCAACTTAGGTGACGGACGGCACCTCCGGGACGGGCGACACCTCCGGGAGCCACGGCCGACCGGCGACACCTCCGGGCCGGGCGACACCTCCGGGAACCACGGCCGACCGGCGTCACCTCCGGGCCGGGCGACACCTCCGGCAACCACGGCCGACCGGCGACACCTCCGGGACGGGCGGCACCTCCGGACGACCGAATGAACTCTCGAAGTCAGACGAACGCCGGCGGTACCTCCGGAACACTTAACGACGATTTACGGCGCCGCAACGAGGAGAGCTACGTAAAAACGTTTCGGACGAAAGTTACTTACTATTCGGCGCTCGCTCGACATAAGAGCGCTGTCCGATTACTAACTCGAAACGTGTCTCTCAAACCCACGTGTCGGAGACATATATTTCGAATTATTACGGATGATACGCAACACGCAAGCTGCGGTGACCGCGATTACGGTACGGAACACTCGCCCGATGCGAAATCGCGCGCGCGGCAACCGAGACGGCTCGTTACGGGCGTGATTATACGTGCGGCACCACATAACGGCCGGCGTCAACTTAGGGCACGGACGGCACCTCCGGGACGGGCGACACCTCCGGACGACCGAATAATTTCACCAAGTCCGTCGCCCGCCGGCGGTACCTCCGGGGCACTTGACGGCGAGTAGCGCCGCTACGAGGAGATAATGCTACGATACGGAAATACGTTTCGGACATAGGTTTCGTACTTTTCGACGCTCCGCACGACCGCGCGACACGATTATTACGATATCTGCTAATTCCCGGCTACCGCTCGTCGGATGCACAATCTTCGAGATTCTACGACCGATACGTGGACGAATGCAGGCAGGATGCCGGTAAGCGAAGCCGGAGTGTTTGCACGAATAAACTTTCCGATGCGTCCTCATTTAATTAATCTCATTTAGCTCGCTCGTTAGCGGTACAAGCGAGAACTCGGGAACAGGCGCAAGTTCGCTCGCGGCGCGTTGCTCTCGCCGGCGAGCGAGAAATTTTTCCAGGCCCGATAGCGGCGTGTTGCCTTGATTAGCGGGCGATACCTCCGGCGGCACGCGCCGCCCGTAACCCAAGTACGATCGCGGCGTGTTGCTTCGTTGGCGGGCGACACCTCCGGCGGCACGCGCCGCTCGTAACCCAAGTCCGATCGCGGCGTGTTGCATTCGTTGGCGGGCGACACCTCCGGCGGCACGCGCCGCCCGTAACCCAAGTCCGATCGCGGCGTGTTGCTTTTGTTGGCGGGCGACACCTCCGGCCGCACAAGCCGCTTTTTCCAAGTTCACTCGCGGCGTGTTGCTTTCGCCGGGCGAGCGACAAATTCTTCCAAGTTCGCTCGCGGCGTGTTGCTTTCGCCGGGCGAGCGAGAAATTCTTCCAAGTCCGTTCGCGGCGTGTTG